AAGAGACATGATTGTTCATCATTTTGATGTGGATACAGCTTATTTGAATGCTGAGCTTCCTGAAACTGTGTACATAAAACAAGCACCAGGTTACACATGTGGTGATCCCCAGAAAGTCTACAGGTTGCGTAAAGGATTGTATGGATTGAAACAAGTTGGGAGATGTTGGCATCAATGTTTAGATAAAGCTTTGTTGGAAATTGGTTTTAAGAAATCATTAGCTGACCCATGTGTGTATACTAGAGGAACTGGGGAAGATTATACAGTACTTCTCATTTATGTTGATGATTTTTGTCTTGCTACTAGTTCTTTAAACTTGGTAAAAGAATTTGCCAAGCAAATGGAGCAATATTTTAAAATGAAGGATCTGGATATGTTAAGATACTACCTTGGGATTGAAGTGCACAGAGCTGAAAATGGAGAAATCTATCTAAGTCAAAAGAAAAAGATAGAACAGTTGTTAACCCAAATGGGAATGTCAGAAGCTAAACCTGTAAAAACTCCAATGACCTGTGATTTTTTGAAAAATGAAATATGTGAAAAATTGTGTGAAAAACCTGAAGTGTACCATTCTATGATAGGTTCTGTCCTTCACCTAGCCCAATGGACACATCCTGATTTATCCTATGCTGTTGGAGTTCTGAGTCATAAAGTTGCTAACCCAACAGAGTATGAATGGCAAGGATTAAAAAGGTTAATGAGATATTTAAAGGGTACAATAGACCTTTGTCTTAAAATGTCAACTATTGGGCCTGAAAAGCCTGTAATTTTTGTTGACAGTTCATTTGCAGAAGAAGGCGACAGAAAGTCCATAACTGGTTTTGTTTGTAAATTTGGTGAATCCACAATTGCGTGGAAAGCAAAGAAACAATCCTCCATTGCTTTGTCAACTGCAGAAGCAGCATTTGCAGCTTTGTCAGAAACAGTTTGTGAATTAAGATGGTTTCATCACTTATTCACTGACCTGGACATACAAGTGTCATTGCCTTATACAGTGTACGAAGACTCTCAAGCCTGTATAGGATTAGCTAAAACAGAAAACCTAAGAGCTCATACAAAGTATGTAGATGTGAAGTACAAAAATGTATGATAAGCTATGTTAGAAAATTTCATTGATCTTGGGTATTGTGTATCTGAATCAAATCTTGTAGATGTATTTACCAAACCATTGCCTATTGTACAACGTGAAGCAATGTTAACTAGACTTGGATTTGAACAAATGTAATTGTTTTTTCTGGATTGTTGTAACCATTTGTCTGAACTATCCTGTAATGTGTATTGTTGTTTTTTTCAAAAATGAGCTGAGAGGGGTGTTAGGATTTTCTCATGGGAAAGGGTTCATCTCATTATCTGCAAAACAATATTGTTATTGTTATGGCTAGGGAAAGCACGTGAATTAGTTTAGTGTGTTAGTTTGCACGTATACTGCTATTTACTGCCACCTATTGGCGTGTGTATGCTAGTTACTCAGTGGGGGGGGGGTACATACTGGCAATATAATGGGAGGATTATATGCCCAATGGCTAGGGAAAGCACGTGAATTAGTTTAGTGTGTTAGTTTGCACGTATACTGCTATTTACTGCCACCTATTGGCGTGTGTATGCTAGTTACTCAGTGGGGGGGGGGTACATACTGGCAATATAATGGGAGGATTATATGCCCAGCCTCTCAGTAGAGTTTTAGCCACCATGTAGTTAGTTTTTATGGGTTATGCAGTTGTAACTAATAACCAATTAGTGTACCTCTTCTCTGAGAGTTTTTGGCTACAGACTTTGTTAAGCTTGTGTTGTTGATAAGTCTTGGATGCTAAAATACATGAGAAGATGTGTT